TTGTATAATACATCATGAATATTAGTTGCCTTATGAGGTGGAGGTACATCGACTTCTTATCGAGCTTAATGTCGAGCTTATTCACGGAACTTTTTTTTTTTTTTTTTTTTTTTATGCTTATTCAACGAACTTCAAAGTGAATGTTGTTCGCGAACATAAATGAACCGAACGCATTAGTGTTGAAGTTTGTTTATTTATGAATCGGAGTATTTAAAATATTGTTCAAGTTTGTTTGTTTAGTTAATTAAACGATCATAAACGAGTTTTAATCGAACTGAACAACGAGTAGCTCGTCGAACATTTGGTTTGCTTGCAGCCCTAATTTCAGGCCACAACCAATATCCTTAAATAACCTAAATAATCTCAAATTAAAAAAAAAATGAATAGCATGAAAAATATTATGTTTCAATGGTATATTATAGAAGTTTTTCACTTTTAAATTTAAGATTAGTCATTTCACTTCCTCGCAATTAAAAGCCTAATTCTCTCAATGAATTCAAAAACATATCTTAGAATCATAGAGGGAAAAAAAAAAACTAATAGCAACAAAGGTTGTCCAAAAAGCTTAATTTGAAATGGCCAGTTTCTATCTAATTAAGAGTGAACATTGAATCAAACATAAGAAGATAAAATTTTCATTAATAAAAGCAAAACTTCAACACATTACTCATATAATCTCAGCTGGAAATCCTATTCATCTTCTCCATTGAAAAATGCTTAGTATCCCCAACCAAATGGTAGAGCAAGACACCAGCTGCCACACTAACATTCAAACTCTCCACAGCAAGAAAGAAATTTAGCTCTTGGCCAAAACAGTTATGAGCCATACCTTCACCTTCAGCTCCAGTGTCTCCATTGCCACTATCCACAGTCATGCTTCCAGGAATTCGTACCAATTGAGTACAAGACATCTCCACTAAAGGTCTCAAGCCACGGCCCTCACTGCCCAACACAAGTATTGTTGGCAATCCAGCCTCAACCTCACGCAAAGTAAGAGCTTTAGAGGACACTGATCCACCAAGAACCCTCCAACCATTCTCCATTGAAGACGTCAAGAACTTCATCATATTCTTGCATGATCTCAATTCAATCAGTTCAAGAGAACCAGCACTAGCTTTGCCTACTACTCCAGTCAAAGGAGCTGAATTCTTAGCACAGAGTACAACTCCTTCTGCACCAAAGAAATAAGCAGATCTAATAATAGCTCCCAAATTCTGAGGATCAGTAACTTCATCCAAAGCAACCCAAAGAGGAGCTGCTCTTTGATCTCTCTCTGCAATAGGCTCCAGCTCTCTTATATCAACAAGCTCTAGAGGAGAAGCATCAAGCACCAGACCTTGATGTGGCCGATTATCGACTGCCATGTTCAGATCATGCTTTGAAGTTTCGATAATCTTTAGCCCTATCTTATCTGCGACCTTCAAAATCTTCTCCACTCCCTTCTTGTCTTTCTTCTTCCTGTTGTTTGCAGTAAAATCCACTCCTTCCTGAACATAGAGAGCATAGAATTCTCTCCTTGCTACTGTCAATGCGGCCAGTACAGGACCAACCCCATAAACACATTGACCAACCATTTTAGGCACTGAAGACTCCGCAGCCTCTTTCCATCTAGTTTTACCCCAAGTTTCCTGCTTATTCCAGCGGCGAACATCTGCCTTATCAAGCCGAGACCTTGTATCTGTGAAATCCTTGTACGTAGTCTTGATTCTATTCCATCTAGGAGCATCAGCAGGTTCGGAAACCAACTCCTCTTCTTCCTGTCGTTCCTCCATCGAGACTCCTTTCTCAGACTCAGCATTTCTCAAATTTATCCTTCTATCCCCATCCTCCCTCTCATCTCTCAACTTCATCCCGCCATTGGCGGATTCCTCCCATGAAGAGTAACTGGGCCTAACGCCATTCTTTTTTCCGCTACTTCTGCGGGAAACTAACCTAGCAAGAACCCCATTACTTCTTGTTCTGCTAACTTGATCGTTCGCCGTGTTCTGCTCAACTGCACAGGAAACACTCGCAGCATGCAATAGACAAATCGATTTGGTGCAAAATCGATCAGAAAAACGGACGGACCGTCTCGAAACCCTAAAATTTAGCGGAAGAGTCAGATTTCTAACTAGATTGCAGCACTGGTGCGAATACATGGCGTAGCAGCTCGTCAAATATAGTGAGTCGACGGAGGCCGACAGACGAAGCTTGCCGATAAAGCTAATCCAGTAGGAGATAGCAGCTCAGCCCAAAGCGAGATAGCGAGAGGAGGAGACGAGGTTGGCTTGCCTGCTTCGTTATGCTTCCTCTTAATTGACTGCATTTTGATTATGCTTTAAGTGCTTTGACATGCTGGACTTAAATTTTCTAGACACGTGTATATTTCATGTGACAATTTTTTAGTGGGTGTCCGGACCTAATAATTTGTCCAACTGAAGCAAGCATTCAAATATAATGTGCATGATTAACATAACAAATTTGATGCACTTCATTCATATGTGCAAAATTATTGAAATTTAACACAAATAAATGCTTAAAAAAATTAAATGGCTTGAATTCAAATTTAGCTGTGGATGATATCAAATCGAGGAAAAGCTTGAACTAATACATAAAAATTAAAATTAAAAAAAAAAAAAAAACTTGATCTAATACATGCTAATGACGCAAAAATAACGTTCGTCATGATGCACAGCGCCACATAAATACAACGTTATTTACTTCATACTACGGCACATCAAAATAGCATTATTTGCACCTTGCATGAATAATGACACGCAATTCTGTTAATATACTATAAATTTCAAATTATAAATTATAATCATTTTTTTAAAAATATTTATATATTAATATTACAATTAATTATTAATTAATTTAACATCAAATTAATAAAATAACAAATAGCTTGATTTAACTTTTGGGTAGTGGCGCGCAATTTTGTTAACATACTATAAATTTCAATTTTTAAAAGACTCCCTCTATGAAGCCTCATAAACCCTAAATAACAAGGTGGTGTGGGGCTCATAGCGAAGGTAACAATCGATTTTCCTCTTTGTGTACTTTGTCTGAAGTAGAGCTTTGAAAGAGTTGCTCAAGGAAGTTTATTTGCCTCCTTTGACGATAGTATTCCTATCAAATTGGAAGCCATGGGGGCTTGCAACAAAGGTAACGATCATTCTTCTCTTTCACATATTCTTCAACTAAATTGCATTAAAGTAAATTAGAGAAGGAATGTGATTTAACTTTTTATAGGATTTAAAAATATCATTTTTGCTATTTGGTAAGATTTAAACTAAATTATGCATAAATCTATCAATGTAAAAGTTTATGTATGATCTAAATTTATCAATTTTATTGTTTGACAAGATAATTGTGGTTGAATGTGGCTCAAATCGACCTATTATTTGCTATTTATTAGTATATATATAGCATGGCCATGCCATGCGCTATGAATCCACAAGAAACTTTGGGTTGTAGTGCATCATTCGCCGTCAACAAATATTATGACTAAGGGTGGGAGTGATTCTCAAACAATGCGAGGGGCGGGAACAAGAGCTATCAGTGACTTTCAAAAAGCCCTCTAGCAGGGGTTGACATTTGCATGCCAGGGAGGTGACTTAGTTGAAACAAATTCTATTTGACTTCAATAATGACTCAGTTGAAGCCAATTCCATTCAATTATGATTTCATTTGAGACGGTTTTCTTACCACTTCTTAAAACAACTTTTTAGTAATTTTTTTTAACTAAAAAGCTGTTTTAAGAAGCAGTAAGAAAGCCGTTCCAAATGAAGCCTATAACTCAAACTTAATTCAATAATCAATAACCAAAACATGCAGATTACGCTTTCATGAATAACAAAGAACATTGTTTCTTATACATATTTATCAGATGAATGATTTGTTAAAAAATTCAAAAATCTCAGCCGCACAATCATATAGTCAATGAAAAAAAAAAAAAACAACAACATGAATTAAATTAATTTTATAAAATAAGAATTAATAAAATAAATTGTGGATTTATTGACAGACAAATACATATGCATATACATATACATATACATAACAGTGATAAGAAGAATAAGCAAACTCGTTAGTTTGGTCAGGACTGAAAGAACATCAGTCAGCGTTTCTGTTCAATCCACGTCTTTCCCTCAAAGAATTCAGCAAGCATTCGCTCCAGATCCTCTGGCGTATATCTGATATATTTCTGAGGATTCTTCCCATTCTCTATGAGAGGCCTGAAACCGTAGCAAAGGCTTGGGTTAAGTGTTGGAACTGGATCAAACTTCTTTCAATTACGAGCACAGAAAAAAGAACAGAAATAGAAACGATGATCAACACATAAGATGCAAAGCCTCCCTTTACAATGAAAAATATGATAAAATTTTCAAAATGCTATAAATGAAATAACATGTAAAATTTAATACAGTTCGGAGGCTAAGTTTACGAACAATATGTAGAATTGCGATGCGAATGACTAAAAAATCAGACCAAGTTGAAAGAGATCAGATAGGAGTGGTTCACTAAGAGTAGATCAACCAAACAAAACAAAGCATGATATGCAATCTAATGATATTGATCATTTTTCAAATATATAATTATGAGGCAATTTTATACATAACATTCAAATCTTGACTATTCATGAAACTATCTCTATTTTTCAAAGTTCACCTAAATATCAAAACTCAAACCTATATTTTTCACTTTTGTAAAATTCGCATTGATTTTATTATGATATGTACAAATACACATATTTTATAGGTGAAAAAACAATCTAATTATTAAATTTATAAATAAATATAGATATACCTATAATTATTCACTTAAATGTAGTCATTGGTTTAAAAAGAAAATGAAGGCAGGCTAAAACTAAACCATGATTAGTATACTTTCAGGTGAAAAACCATATACTAAAAAGTTTCTCTATATAAACATTTTACCAATGATCAAATAAGCCCCAAAGAAAAAAATAAATTAGCTTTATTGGCAAGAATAATAATTCTCAAAATAATTCAAATTTCATGGTTCATGAGTTATACTAAATATGCATATGTTGTTAGAAAATTCAGAAAATGAAATTTATTTGTTCGACCATATGTTCCTACCTTATTAATTTGAGCATTCAAATCTAGTCGTGGCAATGAAGATAGGGGTACATGCATGCAATCTTATTCCTACATTGAAGATAGTGATAGGTACCACTTGAATATTCCAAGTGATTCCTATCAGATCTTCGCCAAAACACCAATATTCCACTGTTTTCAATAGAAAACAGCCACCAAACAGTGGAATTAAACATCCAAATTTTAAGCCAAATCAACCAACCAAAACCAAGGAACATGCTATAAGAAATCTAATATGAATCCACAATATTTTTGGCCTGTAAAACAGTGGAGTCCAGCTTAAAGGGAACTTACCCAAAGCGTTTTATAAAAGATCTGTAAGCTGGCAATAGTACTTCAGCAACTGCAAGCCTAAGAGACTCCCGAAGTTCTGGATCAGGTACAGTCCATTGAGATTGCCTTTGATGAAGCTCTTCGAACTGCATGTTGAAGGACTTGAACCTGATTCAATCAATAAATACCTTAGTTTCTATATTGACATATAAAATTAATAGATATAACATTCTTTTATTTTATTTTATTTTAGTTATTTTCTTTAATTTTATTTTATCTGAAAGTAACATCCTATTTAGGGTTCTCAACCTCTCCTTTACATTTGCCCTTGAAACTCCACTGCTATTGCCCACATCACTTCCACCAGGAACTGAACCACTAGAACTCAAGCTTTGAACTGTGAGGGTCTGCAAAATCTGAAAAACCAAGGATAACCAATAAGGATCAAGAGCATTAGATCCTCAGCAATATAACATGCTCATAAACCCAAGGATACTGTTTAAAAAAGCTATGAGAACCCAAGTTATAATGAACGCCAAGTTTAGATTAAGTTTCCTAGATTATCTTTGCAAGGTAAAATATTTTGTATGAAAAAAGATCAAAATAGAACATAAAGTATTTATAGGGGCAGTTTTAGTCCATTACATTTCTCTATTTTGCATACAAACTACGTATGAGTTATTAACTTGCCTACATGATTGTCAAAGAAGATTTCTGGGATACAGGATACAAAAGATAAATCAAGGGGCTCAGATAAAATACAAATTGCGCTACTTAGAAGATAAACTAGTAGCAATATAATGTAGTATAGAATCTCGGGATTTTCACTTTTGGCACCAAGAAATGCTGGTTAAACCAGACGAAATTTTAGCACAAATTCTTTAACCTGTGCAGTTATTCATGAGAAGCAAATAATCAATGCATCATTTGTAAAAGGTCAAACCTTTCAAGGTTTATAAACAATCCAAAAAAAATTTGCGCCGGGCTCCACTGAGAAAGTTTCGCATTCCAAGTTCATAATGCTTATTAGATTGCATATAAGATACTACCCAAATATTTGGCAAACATTTTATGAGAATTTTATAATCTATTTTCAGGTTTCTCATGGGCACAATACCCTATGATTAATTACCCCCCCCCACACACCCTTTTCACTCTCTCTGACTAAGAGAACTTTCAATTAAGGCTAGTTGGTAGGGCATTAGGTGCTTGGTGTATAGTAACAACGATTTTGATTTTAGAAAAGGGAAATTAAAAATGAATGATAGGGGAACTGATAACAAATACAATCAAGATCTAATTGTTTCATCATCTCAGGTTGTCATGAAACATGATATGCTTAATGAAGGAAGTCAATAAAATATGACCGAATGATACTTGTTGATAACCATGATTATATCATCCAATTAGGTTTTATAGACATAGGATAGATGTTCGTCTAAAGAAACGAATTTAAGTCAACATTAGATACAAATGACCCTTTATTCTATAGAGTCCATTCCATGATTCTGATGGACCAACTGATTTGATTGTGAGGGAATTAAGAAGTTTCCTTATCAAGAAAGAATTGTTTAGGAAGGTTCTTAATCAAATGAAATTAATTAGGAGATGTTTCCTAATTGAAGATTTGGTGAGCAGATTTGGGGGCCGATTTAGAGGGAATTTATTAGGAAATATTTTCTAATTGAAGAGGGCAGCTTTGGAGGCTGATTTGGAGGGGATTAATTAGAAAATATTTCCTAATTGACAGATTTAGGGGCTGATTTGAGAGCTAATTTGGGAGGGAAATAATAAAAAAAAATTGGAGGGAATTGGGGGAGGGTTGTTTGGGTATTTACTCTTTTTTGTTTGCTTTAAATAAGTGATTTTCTAAGGATTAGGGACGGATGTTGTTTGCTGAAATTAGATTGTTCTTAGGGTGTTTGGGCTCTAGCCGGTAGCTAGAGATTTGGGAGAGCCGGATCTTCCTCTCCAATTGAAGATCCACTTGTATCTTGTATTTTCTTTCATAAAACTTTCAATAAAAAAGTATTCGTGTGTTTTATTCCTAATTTTCTTGTCGTTGGTTTTCAAAAATGCTGAAATCAGATTCAGCCAAGACTTTTTCTAAATTTCTGCAAGCACTTCTTAACAAATTGGTATCAGAGCTATCCAATCCGGGCATCCATGGCTAGAAGAAAAGTAGAAGTATTAAGGGGGGAATGGACAATTGAAATCAAATTGTGTAGAAAAGATTTCGGATTTCAAAAAGCTATTTTCAGCAATCCATGAGAAGATCGATGAGAAGTTTGCCATTATGGAGGAGATCATGAAAAAGTTTATCGAGTGCCAAACCAAAATGGCGTCACCAGAGGCAAGGGGAGCCACTAGTGACCAAGGGAGCGGAGGAAACCCTAATCCGATAAGGAAAGGGAACGATCAGGAGGTGTAAATGTTGGGGGAAAAAGAGGGGATGCCACTTTTGGAGCCACTTACAAGGAGAGGAAAGGGCGAAGGAGTGGGACTTTTAGTGGAGCTGTAGAATTTGGAAGGAGAAAAAGATGGGGAGAAGACAAAAATACCATACATGATTTTGCCACCCCTACAACAATATCGAGGGGTGTTCCAACAAGTTCAAAGGTTGAATCATTCGCAGGAACGCGAGTATGTTATAATCTTGAAGTAAGGAGTCTCATCTATTAATGTTCGTCTATACTATTAGCCCCAAATCCAGAATGAAGAGATTGAGAGATTGATCAAGGAGATGATCGAGGCAAGGATCGTTCGGCTTAGTGTCAGTCCATTTTTCAGTCCAGTGGTATTAGTCAAGTGCTTCTACAGCAGTTTCATTTGTTCAACCTTGATAACAATGTGGCACTTTGGGAGAGGAGTATTGATGAACCAGCTAATTTGATTGTGAGGGAACTAAGAAGTTTCCTAATCAAGATAGAGTTGTTTATGAAGGTTCTTAATCAAAATGAATAAATTAGGAGTTGTTTCCTAATATGATCAATCCTTGGATTCACATCGAAGAAAGTTGATCGAAGGATATCGGTGAAACCTTCTTCGTCCCAAGTTAAACCTTACTCAGTTTCCGGATCCACCATTCATGGGTGATTGAGATAAGATCTCCTTAATGCTTTATAGTGTTCTTGAGTATTGATGAAGAGAAAGAAGTTTCTCTTGCAAGTGGAGAGAAAACAATCCCCAAATCTCCTTTCAAAATCTGAAAACAATTTCAGACTTTTCTCCAAAATCTGAGAGAAAATTTCAAATTTCTATACTTAGAAGATTGAGACTTTGGAGGGAGAATTAAGGCTTGAAATCAAGTGGGGTAATAATGAGGGAGAGAGGAGATTGGAGAGAGAAGGACGGCAGATAAGGGAGGCTAGGCCGGCGGCAATGAAGAGGAGGTAGGGAGTTTCTTTCCAAAACGTGAGATTTGATTTTAGAAAGAAATAAGGAGGTTTATGGGTGTTTTGAAATTTCGGCCACAGGGGAATAAAGAGGATTTATGTTATTTCCAAAGGAGTCACTTGAGTTTTGGAAATAATTCCAAAGGGGATCTTGATGGGGCCTGCGGCATGCATGGGCAAGGGAGGAATTTAATGCAAGCAATTAAGGTTTCTTAATTTAGGATTTGATTTAGGAAAGGTTTATTTGAAATCCAATTGTATTTGAATTTCAAATTAGATCCAAACAAAAACTTTCCTAAAATAGATTAATTATTTTAGGAAAGATTTTGAATTCAAATGCAAAGGGAATTGAAATTCAAAATTATCCCAAATTATCTCACATCCAATTAGGAAACTCATGAGGGCAAAGAGGCAATGGGGGGAGGAGATGGAAGGGGCCGGCCGGCGGCTAGGGGATTGGGGCCGACGGCCTTGGGCTCGGGTAGTGGATTGGGCCGTAGGTTTTGAGTGGAGATGAGGGGCTCGGGTGAGGAAAAGGGTTGGCCGACGGTGGAGGTAAGGGGAAGGGAGGGAAAGGGGAGGAGAACCAAGAGCCACCGATGGTGACTGTCGGTTACGACGGGTGGCCCATCCTAGGCTCCACCAAGCTCTCTAACTCTCTCTCTCTCAAGCTCTCACACAAGCTTCAAGAACACAAGTGCAGAAAAATTTTCATAATCATTCATTAACTTCAAACATATGACATGAGACTATAAATAGCCAAATACAAAAGACTCAATGAAATAAAAGACAAACTTACCCTCAAGGCTTACATACGACAATTCTCACTAAAATGGTACAACTGGAAAAATAATAAAAACAAATACATGACACTAAGAAATAGAAAATACATGGATAAGAAAATAAAATAAATAACTCGAAAATATAAAAACTCGATCGTGGCCGTAGATCGGCGGCCACATCTTTGATAAACCTTCCACAAGCTGATGTCCCCATCACTACCAGTACAAAGTAGCAAATAACTCAATTCAAAAGCTGCTACGCCACGCCACCGGATCTGCAACCTTCGTACAAGCAGACAGAAGACGTCAATAAAGTCCCAAAATGCCCCACACGTGCTTTATAGTTTGTATACATATAGGTAAAAAAAAGGGCAAGTGCAATCATTCACCCGCATGGGCCCCGGCGAACGTGTTATTGGTACACATGTGACGTCTATGGATGCTGCGCGGGTCACAAAATTTGAACCTGATCCTCCTAAGCAAGTAAAAAGGAGTAGACAGTGTATAATTATAAAATGTCCCCAAACACTCACATTGGCCCCAATGAGCATGTTATGAGTACACATGTGACGTCTAGGGATGCTGCGTGGGTCAAAAAGTGAATTCAAGTTCGAACCCGATCCTTCTATACGGAGCATAGGAGTCGACAGGGTTCGAACAATCAAACAAATATACGGTGGTGGCGACCGGTATATTTATTTTAATGCATTCATATTAGGCCTTCAAAACCTATAATAAAGAGAATTCACTAATAAGGGCATATAGCCTACGAAACCCGATTCCCTATCGGCAAGTTGATAGGGTTGATAAGGTTCAAGCTTTGAATGAAAATAATCTCAAACACCCCGATGATGGCTGTGTTGAATGTTAATCTCAACCGAAGGGGTTCACAAGCATTTTCAAATCTCTCAAATATTCAAATACCCACAAAAATCCAAAACTCCACAAATCCCAAAATCTAAAGATATTTAAAATTGAAATAATCCATCAAACCACTAAAAGCAAAATCCATCCACCCTTCGTAACATTTTGCCGAGGTGGACAAATTCAAATATAACTTCAGCTCATATAGAGCTAAATGTCTGATTGAAAATATCACTGGGATCCGTTCTCAAACAATCTCCTACCAGTAAGGACGTGGTACGTGTCCTCTAACAGACGGTTTTGCCACCAAATGGCACCGCAGGATAAACGGTTATGACCCGAGGCCCTCTGAACCGAGTGTTTTTGCCGCCAAATTGCACCACAAAATACAGGTTATTGCCAGAACCAATACGTTCCTTATTGGCATCAAATCCTTGAGATATGAATCAATAGGATATAATTGATAGGGCACAAAGCCCTCTGTTAGCTAAGGTGGATTCAAATTTGTCCCCTTAGAAAAATATCCAACCCAGGTCTACAAAGTATCCTTGAACGAAGCAACCTATGGCTGCCGACAAGGATCCTTCTGTTAGGTTGGGTCACCTACCTCCTCTGACTAAGTAGACCAGGGACCACGATGGTCCGGGATGACGGAACCATGGGATCTTAATCGGGTCCATCATTCATTCCCCCACCATTCGCTTTAAGTGCAAGGTGGTGAAATTTTCATTTTTTAAATATCAAACTTTTCAAATTTCCAAATCTAAACCCAATTCCCAAATTCCTTAAAATCATGCTGCTACTATAAGCCGAATATCACGTATCTACGGATATGATGTATTCATTGACAACTAGCCTGAATCGAAGGTTCTCCTCATGATTGGGAGGGGTAATTAACTATAGGGGCTTGTGCCTACAGGAAACTAGAACTCATATCATAAAGTCCTTGCAAAAATGAGGGCGAAATCTCTGGGTAGTGTCTTATCTACAAACCCATCTGACTTCCCAAAATTTATCCCGGAACTAATCCATTAAAACTCCCTCGCCAAAGAAAAAGCAAAAAAGTGCGGGCGGAGGCCGGGGCCGAATTTTCGGAGCCCACATCTGCGTGGGGAGGAATGAGCCAGCGCCTGAAGTCGTCCTTTCGTTCCCTTTTAACGACGCAAGCAAGAGCGTGGTCGCAGGATTTGAGCATGGCCTCTTCTGAAATAGTGCCGAATCGTAGACTCTAACGGGATTTCGGCAGAGTTACAGGTATGGGCCACCGAATGATGCAAGTATGTAATCATTTGAACCTTTTTATTTTTTTTTATTTTTTTGTCTCATGCTTGAGATTTCAACACAAGAATAATTATTGCTGCAAAACTCATTATCCATATACTAAATTATGCCCTCCAAAACATATCAAATGTTCTCAAGTAATAAATAGATATGTAACTTATCAATAAAAATTATTTATCGCACAGGTGGCGCTTTTAAGCTGAGGCTCCAACTACAGTATACTAAAGTACTACTGATAGTAATAAGATTGGTAAGAGATCATATTTTACAAAGCCAGGCCAATCACACCTTTGCCCAAGCAACTCGCCTGTATTGTTTTGCATTTTGCTGAACAATTCTTCTGTGCCTTTGAACCCAATCATCACCAAACAAATCCTTTGCCTCTGACCTGAAAAATATTTTGCCAGTCAGGTGATATTTCTCGAGTGTTACAAAAATTCAAAATTCAGTTTGTTAATATACCTTCGAACAGATCTGACCATGTAATGGAGATTATTCATTAGGAATAGATAAGTCAATGCAGGATCCCTATATTGCTTAGATTTACCATCTAGGTTGCTTTGAAGAGCTTGCATTATCCTCATAGTTACGATTGCAAGTTGGGAATTATCATCAGTCCCAGTTGTTTCAAACTCCTGAAAAAGCTGCTTCAAGGTGAACTGATAGCTGAAACAAAAGTGATATCCATTTGTCAGAATACGCATGTACATAACATAGTTTGAATTTGATGCTCATGAAAAAAATGAGGAAGTAAATCATAATATACATAAAAGATCAACTCTGGAATTGTCACCTGACAATTTTGTGGACACAAATAGGAAAATAACAAAAAATTCTACGCAGTGCAATTTATCATCTTGCATGTAAATATGGCAGATTCGCAAGGCAAGCCACCCGGTGTGGCCGATCAAAATCAACCAGGAGTATAAGTGGCCGATAGACTAACTTTCAAGCGATCAAAAAATAGTGAGGAATGAGAGAAAAATGGTTTGAATCAAGAGTTCTGATTTATTTCACCAGGGATTAACTACACTAGACTACCAACAATGCCTCTATTCTTCAGATACGGACTTATTAACTTAAAAATGGAAATTTTTTAGATATTAGAGAGGTTATTTCAGTTGGCCCTGTCAAATGCCACTAAAGTCACTAACACCTACTCATGCAATTTCATCGCATGCTTCCTAGCTTGCACATCACTTCATGTTACTTCATCACTTGCTCCACAGTCAGACCACATCACCTACATGTTAGTTTCATTTCATATTCCTCAACAAGTATTATCATCAGGACTACTTCAAACAGCTTCATTGCCCGCACTTTTTCAAGCAACATCCGCACATCTTAAGTAAATTTTTTTCCCGCACCATATGCAACTCTATTGCCTACCATTGCAATTTTATGCATGCTACCCTCAGAGTACACATACATCTTCATTAAGAATATCACCATGTACAACACTCATTCATCCACTAGAGGACGCTATTGGTTATCAACTATCTCAATGATTTGAAGAATGCATTGGACTTCCATGTAATGACTCTCTTTGGCAAGCATTAAGCGGTCGAACTACCGACGATCAAATCTACCATTCCAGCGATCAAAGAAAAAGAGGCAAGCAAAGGTGACTTCTCTTCACTGGGCAAATTCTGAACCCGTCCAATTTTCAAGTTCAGTTGAAATAAAAATCTCATGATATGCTTAAGGAATATAATAATAGAGTGAAAAATTACCCAATTCTTTTTCATTTTGAGCAACTGCTTGATACAAAATGGAAGTAACATAAAGGTAGCAATAAAATTATCAAGTAGCTTCAGTATTAAGATGCTTTCCAAGCAAGGACAGTTATCAAATCAGAAGAATGAACTAAAGCCTAATTCAAAATTCCTAAAAAATTACGCCTAAAGACAACAGGTAGAAATCGAAAGTATAATTGAAAATAAAACATACTCAAATAGGAACTTCACGTAGTTAATAACGTAGCTAGTTAGGGGGTGAACTGTTCCATCAAGCACTGTTGTTTTAGTGGCATCTTTTTCAACTGCCTCCTCAAAATCACCAAAAGTTTCTTGGGCTGTCAAAGCTAAGCGCTTTGTAAGATTAAGAGACACATCCCGCATCTCAGAACAAGCTTTCCCTTCAAATATTAATTCAACCTACCATAAATTCAGATATGGAAAGTAGATTAGTGCTCAACCCTCAACAACAACAACAACAACAACAACAAAAGCTATAAAATAAAAATTAGTACATTCAGTGATTCAGATCTCTCAACTGCGAAGTCCACTGAAATATTCATTAACCAAACATATGACCCAAGATACTAACAAACTGGGATCAGATTTATAGCTGGAAAACAATAAGTTCATACCCTAATAAATATGATAAATTTTAAGAGTCGCCAAGTGATGGCTTTGTAAAGTGTTTCAACAAATAATAAAAGACATTCTATCAAGAGAAGGATTATGTCATTATTAGTTAAATAATATTTTGTTAAAAACTCAAAAGCTATTTGTTTTTCTCCAAACAATTAAAAAAATCTTCTATTATCATAGAAAATAAGTTTTTTTCTTCAAAAACAGCACAGACACAATGTTACTTATGTTATCTTTCAGCTTTAACTACTGTATATCTTAGCATCATATAAAAAGTGGTAGGAGAGGACAGATTTTCTTGGTTAAGGTTTTTCACCACCATTTTTTATAGCTCCTGCTAGTGTCCACTAATTCGTGCTTTAAAGTTTATTGAAAGAACAAGCTTTAGATGTCCCTGATCCTATGATAAGGGATAGAGATGGGGATGACTCGGAGCTAATAAGAATAACGTCCCTTGAGATTTTTTTGTACATCTTCCTTCTCAAAAATTTATTTTGACATTCCATTTATTTTCTTCGCTGTATATTTGGTTCCTTGTCTTTCCATGCATCAATTCTTATTTTTTATTTTCTTAGCACCAGAAGGTCTCAAGAATGCATACCTGCTTTGAGAAGTCATCAGTTAGCAAGTGACTTCTTTTATGCTCCTGTAAGTAGTTTTAATTTCTCCTCTTTCCTTCTGGTCATTAATCATAAGCTGAATTCCTAAATTCAGTTTTAGTTTTTCATCTCCACTTACAGTTCTCTTTAAAGTTGCTTTCTGAAGCTGCAAATTTTTCTGCCAACACTTACAAAAATATCTACACCTTGTGAATATTTCCTGCAACTTGCTTTAGAAAATTACCGGAATTTTATTTAGAAAATTGCCTACAGATGCACAAATTTGCAGCCTAGAAAAAATAACTCACATAAATGCAAGATTTTTTTATTTCTGCTTACTATGATTTTAACTTGGGAATGTTCCATAGATCTATTAGGTGGTTGAGTATGCATAAATTTTGGTTCAAGATCAAAGCAAACAATAGATTTCATAATTATGCTTTTTTTTTCACAAGTGCAATTATAACCATTTAATGTATCAGCTTAAATTCTCGTTAATAAACTTCCTTAATTCTACTGGCAGCTATTAATTCAAGAGAATTGAAAAAACAGAAAAAGATCAGTCCAATAATGAAACAAAAAAGACCAGCGCATACAGAAAATATGAACACTTATGTATGAAGCATTGATTGAGTTTCAATGTGCTAAAGTAACAACCATCATTCCATTTACGAACTAGAAAGCTGTCTTTCAAAAAAGGTTAAATTCATTCTGTTTTTTCCCTCCCAAGATCTTCCCGCTTATATATAACTAACTATATATATAATATATTATACATATGTCAAATCTCAGTCATCCCTTGCATTTTGATCCAAGACAGGATAAATCCTTGGGAGCCTCACCTGGATCACGCCAATATCCTCTCTATTTGGGAGCTGAATTTAGTAAGTATTATATTTGAGAAAATTATGTATCAATTAGAAGTTATTTTTTTAATACTAAGACATTTCTTGTATAACTATAAATAGAGATAATTTGTAAATAAGTAGAAGTAATTTTATACCCTTCTCAAATTCTAAGAATTCTAACTCTCTCTCTCTCTCTCTCTCTTCTCCTAATCTCTCTCTTCTCTCTCTCTCTCTCTCTTCTCTCTCTCTCTCTCTCTCTATATATATATATAATAATATTATATATATATATATATATATATATATATATATATATATATAAATATATAATATATATATATATATTAATATATATATACCACGGATTAAAATAGCGTCAGGCGTCGAACAGAGCGCAATCAGTCGAAGGCACAACCCGCGCCTAGGCTTAAGGCCATCAACTGTTATTTACGAGGCGTGCGATTTTTTTCAGCGAGGCGTAACGCCTCGAGGCAACGTGAGGCGACGCCTCATTAGGATTCGACGGAGCTCACAGCGAAGAACAAATTCCTTATCTTTCGGCTTTCTTCCTTTGCTCATGCAGGTAATGGGCTTCCAGTACCGCTCGGTACCGAGCGGTACATGCTCGGTACCGAGCGGTACATAGTTGACATAATATTTTATTATTTTTTGTCATTATTTATAATTTTAAATTAATTTATTTTAATCGTTTTGAGGCTTACATCTCGCCTCGCTTAGAAAAAACGCCTTGATTCCCGATTTCGCCTTTTAAAACCTTTATATATTGATAAGGGCATCAACAGATGCTATCGACATGTTTATCGACGGAGGAATCGCAGATCTACGGCCATGATTCAGCTCCTCTACTTTTGATTCATTTTCATGATATGTTATTTAGTTATTTGTCATTTTTCGTTTTTACCCCTTTGGGGAGTTGTTTTGTTATTGTAGCCCAGAGGGAAATTTCGTACTTTTCTTTTCATGAGTGGAGACCTATATATAGTGGTCTCATATATTGTAATTTCTTTGATGAATGTTTAATGAAATTTCTTATGTTTCTTCTTCTTCTTGTGTGATCACAAGAGAGAAAGGAGAGAGCTCGAGGTGAGCAAGTGCAAGGCCCACCAATCGTTGGAAGGGTCCACGGCTCGTGGTAATTTCTTCTTTTTATTTTATTTGTGCTTCCCTCATCTTCCTTCCCCTCTCCATCCGTCGTCCCCTTCCCACTCCATCCACCGGTTGCTTAACCTCTCCCTCCCACTTCATCCTCTAGCTCCACCTCCTCAAGTCCAACCACCATCCAAGCCCACCTCCACCCGACGGCAAATTCCTTTCCCCCCTTGGACCACCAACCACATCCCCATTATTCATCATAATGACTCCCTAATTTAGATCTAGCATTAAAGGAAGAAATTTGTGAATTTCAAAATTCAAATTTCTAAATTCAAAACTTTCCTTATTTGCAAAATCTAAATAATGAAAGTTTCCAAATTGGAAGCTATTCGAAATTCAATTTTGAATGATTCATTATTTTCCCGCCTAGTTGTCACATCTTGTTTGGAAAGAGTCTAAATTCCCTCCTAATCCCTCTCCCCTCTCTCTCCATGCCGCCGGCCTCATTTGGCTCCCCCTCATTAATCCTCAATCAATGCATTAATTACAAATTAATTTGAAATCAAATTAGTTCCCTCCGAAATTATCAAAATCTGAAGTTAATTTCAGATTTGGATTAAACCGCGCCTCCACCCTAACCTAACCTAATCCTCCCTCCTCCAAGCCGCCCCTCTCTCCAAACCCTACCTTCTTGTGAAACCCTAGTTCTCTCATGACACTCAAAGCCAAGAGAAGAAGACAACCTCTCCTCCCAACCTCGCCATTGGTGCATGGCCGATCCTGAGGTTGATCACGGACTCGTTCTCAATTCTCAAGGGGAGGTTGACATCATCCGCTCACCATTCTTTGACCCCGGGTTTGGATCCAAAGCCACCGTCAAGGAATACGTGGATCGCATCCTTCCCCACTTAGCGGAATTCATCAACAAACAAAAATTTCTTGAAGAGTGGAAGATCACCGGACGACTCCCCGTTTCCCCACCGCCGGCTACCAATCCGTCAACGAAGGTCCTTGGTGCCATCTTCCTAGTGGTAATATCCTTCTTCATTGGACTCATCTATCTCCGCTAACCCAAAAGAGTGCATGAATGAGGCGGTACTCAAGGTGAACCTCTCTTTGTTAAAAGATGGATTTTGTTACGAGCATGTAATGTTTGCTATTTATCAAGATATTTGATTGGATTGTACGGTTAGCATCAAAAGCACTTCTTTGGCCTAAGCTCCAGATTTTAGCTCTCATTTTTAAGCTTCATTTCTTCCTCTTGTGCTGCATGGCACTCATTAATATTTTTGCAGATCCAGCTTGTCTAGTTAGTATATATAACTTCTCCACAAGAGCAACATCAGCAATGTGATGCGGGCCACTGCCGACGCCGACCGGCAGAGGGAGGGCGGGCTACCCCGCGGCGCACGGAAACAGCCGGAACGGGCGCCGCACCGGCGCGCCCGTTCGATCCGCCGAAGCAGGGACGCGGAGCGGGACGGGGCCGTTCGGCTTGAGCGGAACCGGTCCATTTCTGGACCGGTTTGGCTCAGGTCTAGCCTGAGCTGGGCGGTTCAGTTTGGGCAGCCCACTAGTGGGTTTGGTTGGGTCTTTTGCTTGCTTTAAGTAGGGATTGAGGGGGGATTTCTAGGGTTATGCATTTGGAGTTTTCTCTTAGCCTCTTAGTTTCCTTCTCGTTTTTCTAGGGTTTGTAGTGGGAGATCTTGTCCTTCTCGAAGTGGACAAATTGTATCTTTCTTTTGTGTTGAACTTGCTTCGCTTTCAATACTACATGGATTCCCTTCTCTTTTTTATGATTGTGCTCTAATTTTGAGAGTTTTCCTTCAAAGTTTTGGAGGGTTTGTGCCCTAATCCGAAAATCATCAAAGTGCACAACTCTAAGGATTTTACCGTGGAAAATCTTTGCTTTTGATCTTGTTTTGTTCCTCTCATGCTCATTTGAGAGAAATTAGGGCAAAATCGAATTTGTGAAACCTAAGGCGTATCACAATGATAGGTCGTCATTAGGATTGATATTAGTTTATGCAAGTATTATTTATGGCACTTCTAGTTAACCTTCGAAACAAGAATCCCATCGCAAGTGATTAGTCGTAATTGTGATTGATATTAGTTTGTCAACTTTTTATGGGACATCTAATTAAATTTTTGTAAAAAGAATCCTTTACAATTAGTAATTCATGATTTTTTTTTTCTTCTATTATGCAATAATTAATGTATTTTTTTACCTTGAAATAAAAAACATCTTTACTTGGTTGTAACGCTTGACCATGCATGTGGGTTGAATTTAAGTCATATTTATAGCAATCAAGACATACCGCCTTTCAAACTCAACATTTGGTAGTAGTGGTTTTATCCTCACTGCCATTTTTGGGTATAAGCTTTTCTCAAAAGCATTATAGTGGCTTCATCTCCTATCATAATAGTGTAATAAGCCTCCATCAGGTCAAATGCCTTTCATTTTCAGAAACCATTCAAGGAGAACTTTGTCAACATTTCTCTACACGTCCTAAAACATTATAATTGTTTAATTATTGAGCCCTTTTTTTCGTGCCTTTACATTCCTGGGCTTATCCCTCTCGATATCCACTCCATTGTTGCCAATGTGCTTATTACTTAGAACAACGGAAAGGCAAAGCTCTGCTATGGTTTGGGCCAATCAAACATTACGAACTTCAACCAGTTTTGCTGACCAACGAGGAAATCTAGAGGGAAATAGTTTGCTTCCAATAGATTTTTCTCTGCAAATGAGCTGATATTAATAAAATTAGGGTGATGTATGTTGCAAGTAAAGACTATCATTCGATCCACGTAAATCTAGATCTTGAACAAGTAACTACTCCAAGTTACTTTTATAGCAAGAAAATTATGAGAATATTTTAACTCAGTCTCAAATCTCAGTGATTTAGGGTTATTGACTCCCTCTTGCTATTCAAATCACCCAATTATCATTCAGATCAAAGAGTCTATAATGGCATCCGAAAGCGAGAATGATTGCAAACGTAAGGTTACATCATAAAAAATAGCATGCCACTCTATTTGAAGCTTCCGGCTGCAGCTTCCAAAGCTTTAAATGAAATAAGAGATAAGGCTCTCACTTATAATTCAAGATCAATAATGCATAATGGTTCATCCTCCACATCAAGAAAACAGCACCAGCACTTAATTCGAAAATGATAACTCAAAAGAACTTGTACAGCATAAGTCAGCAGTTAAGCATACCTCCGACTGAAGCTCACGCATTATTTCATACATATCTAGAAGCACAAACAACTTCTCTGGTGATCTCTTGCTCTTAGCAACAGCCTCCCCAAAGCTGAAAAGCATTAATACACTATCTGCAGTTACTTCAGCAAAACACTGATCCTTCTTGACATTGATATCATCAAAAATTTGTTCACAAATTTTTCGCTCTGCAGCAAATAGGAGTTTCACCTGTTTCAAGTACGGTCAAAAATTGAAAGTAAAAGTACAGAATTTATTGTTTATATCAAGATGAGAGCCTACAGCAATTCGCATATAGTGAATCCAGTTTCCAATTTTGGCTTCTAAAACCTCCCACGGCATCTTCTGCACATCATCTTTATTGAGCCTTTCCACTCCAAGTTTCCGGAGGCTCGATTCTAAAGCCGAAGAACGTGCTTCACTGAAAGCCAATTGTGTATAAAGAAAATTGCATAGAGAAGTCGATGAATGATTCAGTTTCATTGTATTTGAATTCAACATTTCGTAATACAACTACAAAGAACCAGTGTTCAACAAGGAAATAATTTATGAATATTAATAAAAAGATTATCTAAGGTAATGTTGTCTATTATTCCGTAAGACTATATTTTGTACTTTTGAAAAACTCCAATGCAAAAAAAGGATCTCTACAAACAGCAGGAAAAGACCATGGAACTTTCTAGAACTTAAAGAAATGAAGGCCTTTCAAAAACTTAACGAAATGATGTCTGTACTCTACTCCCTGAGAAGACCATTCTTTGATAAACGGGTAGAAGAAAATGATGTTGACCCGTATAAGTTAAAAAAAAAAAAAATCAAAAATCAAATAAAAAAATACCTCACCTGCCCTCTGTCCGGCGCCGAATTCAGCACGTCGCTGATATGTCCGTGTCTTTTCTTCCCACGATCATCCGCACCGGAGCCCACAAATGAGCATTCCAAAAATTCATGATAAAAACAACTTATCAATAATAGTTTGTGAATGCACATAAAACAAGTAATATCATATTCCTGTACATTTCATCAATAATAGTCAGAACAAAAAGAATGATATGAAACTGTGAACAAACTTACATGTGCGGAGTAGACTATCTTCCACAAAACAATCAGCAACCATTTAATGATATGCTATTCCGTAATGAAGAATCGGTTATGCATAAGAAATTAGATTAAGGTTGTAATTTAATGTCAGACTCTATAGACAACATCAGAACTACACAAGCCATATTTTGTTACAGCACTCAGTGAACATGATAAAAGTTGTATTAGAAGCACCATCAAGTAATTTAGACTCCAATTTCAAATCCTTCTTTTTTTCCTTAGTGATAGCACCAATAAAATTAATTGCTCAACAATTAACATAGCATATGCACTATTTTAAATCATCCATCGGTTCAACTTGTTGGTCAACCATCATTAATCCCACTTCTCTAGAGTGTCTATTAGCAGTGAGCTCTACACCTCCATATAAGCCGCATGAACTCAAAACTTACATCCAAGCTAGTTTGATCCCTTTATCCTTCACAATTTCATAACCAAGCATTATGTATCTAACTCAAAATTTCATAACCGATTTCAATATAAAAAAATAGTAAGACACATCAAGTAAATCAGGTCCCCTTGTCCTCTGATTTTCATCATGCAGTTCTAAACAACAACAAGAGCAATATAGTAGAACCAATACAAAAAATGGGACCAACAGAGAAAAGTAACATTTGAGGGTTATACCAATAAAACTTTAGACATTGGTCTTGTTTTCCAGCTTGAACCATCTGTTGTGCCAAGTCATGCAGCAAAGGCAAAATCCTTGGTGGAATGAGGGTCAGTGGTTTGTATATGGCAATATCTAAGCCATTGGCTTCTTGATTAGAATTATTGGCAGATGAAGGATTCTTCACTCTCTCGCCCTGCTGAGGATGTAACCCAGCCGATGGCCGCAAAGAACTAGGAAGGCAATCAAACAGACGGTCCGGCTCCACTGGCTTGCTGAAAGAATATAAAAGGAATGAACATAGAAGGTACTAGATGCAATTTTGTCTCCAAATAAATGAATAAGAATTCTCGTTATTTCTTCATTAAGAACTTTTTTGAAATACGCAAGAAAATTTCCAAAGTAACTAAAGACGAGCATCTTTTTATTTTGAAAAATAAATTTAGAGAAAACATGCTAGTACATAACCATTAAGTGCTGCTGAATAAACCTATAAGTAGATAGGAGCTGCTTAAATTCATCATCAAGCTTCACAATGGCCTTTGAGAGCAACGTATTGGCATGGTTAAGCACCCCATCAGGGCCCTTGAATCCTTTAAAAGAGCTGAAAAACTGAACAATGCTTCTCAACTGGCAGATTGCTTCCAAATAGCTTTCTAGGTCCTCATATGGACCTCTCAGGATCTTTGCCTCGGCCTACAATGCAAAAAATAATAATAATAACATAATGCATGCCCAACAAAACCCAAGTTCTCACAACCACAGTGACTGATAAGCCAGCATGAGCAGTTTATCATAAATAACAATATTAATATTCTTTTTTTTTTCTATCTTCATTCCTTCAAAAAGATTTTGCAAGAAAAATTGCATGAAAAATGTAGAAGAATCTTGTGGGTATCAAATATAATTCCTCAACCCGTCCTACATAAGATATTGTCCATTTGACCCAACTCGTCACAGATCATGCTGAACCTCGCTCTTTTTTAACTTCCAAGCGGTTACTCATCCTAAGAGCACTATACTATGAGCATAATTAATTATGGAGTTACTACAAACACTTCACTCATTACAGCAAAAGGCATCTTTATGCTATGGCCGAACTCTTTACTTATATAGTCCAGTATACTTTCCTCTACTTGTCATGTAGGATTTAGTTCATTCATGCACCTATTTTCTCATAGAAGTTTTTCAACCTAAAAAAGTATCAAGAACTACTCCTTATAACAACCCTAGCAATCACACATCGCCCTCATCAAACCGTTCTCTTTAGTTTTAGGATGTCACTGGCACATCAACTTTAAATTGGCTCATCCCCGAACCACACATCAAAATAGAGGAGGTCAGACTCTAATATCATTTGCAATGCCTCATGCCACACTATGCAAGGTATCTCCACTTTGGAGAAGCCCTCGCTATATCAAATTGAACATTACATTTGTATTCTTTTTCATATAATGTCTCAAGAGCTCATATATCTCAAGAGTCCTCCACAAAAAGTACTTTAAACTATAGAGTTTACAAGTTGTTGCACCAAAAGGTGAATTCTGTATTAAGGCCTAACTTTTTATTTGTATAGCCCAGTATCATTCGCTCCACTCCCCGCACCCCTATTCTCATAGAAATATACCATCATAGAAGCCTAGCAAGAGCCACTCATTGTCCAAGCCCCATCCCCGGCAATCACTCCCCGCCCTAATCAGACCACACTCTTCAGATTCAGAATGTCACACCAAGAAAGAACTATAAATTGTTAATTGTAAAAAGCACTAAATATCCTTAAAAGTAATGCAGGCGAAGGTGTAAATATTTTTTTTTCTTAAAATTAAATAGCAAACAGCAACATTTGACAATGTATGAAGATTAGATCCCAAAAACAATTATGAAACAGTGGCAAACCTTGCGCTTGAGATCAAATTGAGCCAATATAACATCCGCAGATTTCAATGTCTTGTCTATATTCTCTTGCGCCCTCCTAATAGCGTGCGTCCGCACCTAAAAGAAAGATTTTATAAACCAGAATTTGAAAGGACCCAGGTATCCCTGACCATTTTCAAAGAAGCAAAGAAACTACGTTGTATTACGAAATCCCCACAGCAACGCCCAGACAACCCCGCCACCATCAAATTATGGCCTTCAAATTCAAGGAATCGACAGAGAATGAGACTGGAAAACAATAGACCTGGGTGGGGCGCATGGCTGCTTCGAGTGAGGAGAGACGGTGGTCGAATGAGCCGATGATGGTAACCATTGTCTCTTTAATCGTCTGGCTCTTACGCAATGATTCTCTCAAAAAGTTCACCCTCTCATTTAGGGATTCAATGGCTTGAGGAAGTCCCATGGCTCAGTCCCCTTCGCTCACGACCTCCTCTCGCCGATCTACGTGAGAAAATCCCTTCCTCTCTCCTGTGAAATATTAATCACTCGCTACATATATTATATATAACCGTCACCTCCCAACATTTAACATTCCAACTTAACGTAATCTACATACCATGGAGATAATTATAATTTGTTGAGCTACACAAATGATGTGGACCTAAAATGTATTTAAAAGTTCATACAATGGAAAAAAAAATACATGCTAATCATGTCATTATGTCATTCATGCATGTTAAATCATATTTATATTTATATAATTGCATATTATATATAAACATGTGAGTAAAGCATATAAGAAAATAAACATTTCATTTTTCATAACTTGTCGTTATATATCTCTTTTTAAGTCAAGAATCAACATGACTATTTATATATCTTGCATGAGTGGCAGAGCCAATATGGGAGCAGTGGGGGCACGTGCCCCCACTGGATTGCAAACTTGCCTCTAGCTTTTATGGAGTTGAAGGCTTGCAGTGTAAAGAAATGTTGAGAGTTGCCTGTAGTGGAGCTTGTGGATGATGGTATGTTTTCCCATAGTTCTGCTAGAAAGCATGCAGTACTCTTTTAGGAGATTGGGTGGACAGAGGATGTGAAATCTAAGGTGATTAACATCTATGTAACAATGGCTCCGGCTATTTTGTAGAGCCATGTGTGATATTGGAAATGTGCTGCTAGGTTCCGAGCGCAGGAGGTGTTGAACTTGTTGTTAGCATGTGGGATCAGATCTGCTGGCTTGACCAAAACACAGCTTCATTGAAATGCTTTTGTGCATGTGTATATACATATCATATTATTTAAAAAATAATTGATTTATAATAAAGTATTTTGACCAAAAATAGCAAACAAAATTTTTTTCTTTTTATAAATTTATATTATCAAACTATGAATGTGTAATAACATAGAATAGAAATTCTTTAAGCTAACAAAATCAATATTATTAATTTTAATTGTCCAAATGAAGAAATTAGAGATGACTTGGAGAACTATAGATGTATAACTTTAAACATCAATAAAATTGATAATTAATTAGATTTTTGAATAATCACATGAATTTTTTATTAATTATTAATAAGTGGGAAATTATGAGATGCTTTTAAACAATATATTTTTAATGCTATAAGCAGCATGAATTGAGAGCGATTAAATGCACATATCAGACATAATAGATTGAAGGGTTGGAGGAAATTTTAAGAAAAAAAATTTGCAAATGTGAGTTAAAGTTTTAATTATGTCTGACATTTGTTATATAAGAGAAAGTAGATATCCATAATTGTAATTACAATTAATTTGCAATTGATGAGGCAAAAACTAACATATGATTATATTGTAATGGTTGGAAATTAAAGTGTTAGATCCAACCATTTTGTAAATTTAAAGTTTTAATTTTTATGATATAATCTCATTTTTTAAAGTCATTTGAATATGGAATAGGTTTAAAATTAGCATTGAGAAAATGTAGAAAATGAACTTTAGGGAGTAGTTCAATTTTTTTAAGAAAAAACTCTATGCATTATTATATATTTTTTCTAACTATTCTACTTATTAAAATTTTAAATACATATTGAGAGTAATTTGAAAATCATTAATTTTTGCCCGACTAATAAAAATTTCTAGCTCTGCCTCTGTCTTGTAGGATGAAACAACGTTCATAATCTTTATCTTTATCAACATAATCGGCATGGTAGGCTTTCCTAATTTATGTCGTGTTTGTCACCTTTGTGCCCTTTAGCTATCTATCAAGCTCTTGTGAAAACCTTCAATTTAATGTTTGTCGGTTGCAAATAACCCAAATTGATGCGTACATAGAATTGAATCTTCTTCTATACATCTTTAGAAAAATTCCAACTTTATCATAAATTTAGTCAAATTTCTCAACTTGCCCGCTTATATTGATTTTATTTCGATCTATCAAATTGTAGAGTTTCTTAATCCTTCCATCATGTAATTATACATTCAATGTCATTTATGATATAGCCATCATTCATACACATCATGGTATGTGTACACCAATGAATACATGTGCAGGTACTCATTCGTAGGTGTCTTGCAGTTATGTTTGGGTTGAGCGAAAGGAGTTCTAACTCCACTCTCGAACCTACTCATTTGAGGAACTTGCTTAGGAGATTGAAGGAGCTTAACACTGGAGCATAGTAGACGAAGATCGGTCACCACCTCCAGGCAGTCTCCCCTAGGAGGGTGACCTCCAAAGTTCCGCTTAGCTAAGCAAAGTTGTATTCGTCTAGCCAGAATCAAGATCTCTATATCTGATACATCGTAGAGCTACCAAGATATAATGACTTGCCCCTAAAATATCTCCACATATGACCCATGTTCATTCTTAAAAGTTACTTGCCCTTTTGCCATAATGGAGTGACCTAGATTACTCCACCATATCCCATCTGCAGCAACTGAAAAACACTTGCCCCTCACCATCTCAATGAGGTGAACACAACATTCTAATTAGTCCAGCTCACCCTCCTAAATTGTCCATCAGCTCAACACCTCCAAAGATATCAATATAAACTGATGGGATAGCTATGTATTAAGACCCAACTCATGTTTCCTAATGAACCCTATAAAAGGGAGTAAAAAGGCAATGAAAATAGGTTTGACTCATATTCAAACTCCATATTCAAATTCGAGCTTCCGATCAAAGATTCAATTTTTTCTCCAGAATTTCAAACTGAAGATCCCAGATATAGGGAGATCCCCAAAGGAAATAAATATTGTACTATTATTATTTATGTATCATTGAAGAAGCTCTATAACTCATAGCTCATATTTTTTCCATTATTATTCCTCTGGCTTGGATAATGAAGGTTTTCCTAGAGTTTATGAACCCTCAGATCTTATCTTCTTACTCTTCTCTTTATACACAAGCTTCATAACATTCTCCCCAGTGGTTCTCAACTCCCCCGTGGTGATAAGTACCACTTGGTATCATCCACCGAATAAAATAGGATTCAACATGTGATAACCCAAAATTTTCAAATAATTTAAAAAAAAAATTGAATTTCATCATTGTGCCTTACTGAAGAAGGAAGAGGAGGAAGGGAATGAAACAGGAGAGAGAAAATAAAGAGAAAAGCTAATTTTAGCCATCAAATCGCTTCGCCATTTTTGTCAAACTTGCTCAGATTGTGGTAGGTGATTTTGATCCTACTTCTGTTTTTAAATATTTTGATTTCAACCATTTGATTCTCCCCATAACTAATTGTATTACATTTTTCTTAGTTTTATTAAACTTCTGTGTAACCTTTATATGACATCTTATTGATTATTCTAGAGATTTTAAATGTAACAATTTTGAATTTCATTAGGTAAAATAGATGTTATTAAATTTTGTAAATTTTTTCTTTAATGTAAGTATGTATTTTTATTTAAGTTTATTATTCATTTAAGCATTGTAAATGAATATAGACATGCAGTTAAGTAAAACTTGATCACTATTATAGTTAAAAATATATGATATTAATATGTGTAAAAAACAAGTTCGTTGGTCATTATTAATGTTTCGCTAATGGTGGCTTGAGACAAACTGTTATATACATGATGGTGGGCCAACGGAATTTCTTTAAAATATATGGTTTGATGTTATCCTTGACTTATTTACATGATATTGATTAGGAGTTATAAGGGTTATTATTGTAGTGATGGTCAAAAAAGTGACAACTCTATTTATTCAGCCAATGATTATTGGCTGCACTTATACCGAAAACACTACTTAAGCCAAGACTTCTTACTTGATTAATATGATTATTGAAATGCATGTTATTGTTACACTGTTCTTATTACTGTACAAATTTGTTGTTACTACACGAATTTACTAGTATTGTTGTCGGTTTATTAATACCGATCGAATTCCAATATTGCAACTGATATTAATACTGATGCTACTACTAGTATACTATTACTATTATTGCTACTGTTATTGATTCTCTTTATTGTTTATTGATTATGAGATATATTGAGCATGTCATTATGATATTATACTTATACTGATATAGAATATATATGATTACTATTATTAGTTTACTGCATTGATATTTCTACTTCTGGTTTACTGCATTGATATAATTTATAATGATATTTATCGATGCTTTTGTTTTACTTATATATACGGACTAGTATGATGGATGCTTTATGGTTTTGACAACTATAGTGGTTTACTAGTTTTCACTTTGTACTACTTTACTAGTTCTCGTACCATACTTGATACGTCCTCAAAAATTGCCTTGATCGAGCACGAATCTCGAGGCATATTCAAATTGGATTTTTTTTAGGAGACTTACAATCAAATCGAACATCTCAAAGGGACGAACCGAACAACACCGAAATTGGTCCAACCCAAGCCCAAATGGGTCCAAATCGGGGGCCCGGACCACATTTCGAAGGGTTAAAGCATTATTTGAATAATGAAATTATATCTAAATATGACATGCTTATAGTCAAATCGAGCGTCTCGGCGAGACGAATCCAACGAGCCCAAGATCTCTGAATTCCGACACTGTTAAGTCACTTAAACAGTTAAAAAACTCTCTACGATCGGGGGAATCAATACGAGCCATCCGATGGAGCACTCTGAACCTGCCCCGGATCTTCTCTAGATTTACGGGGTGCGCCACTCATGAAAATCTATAAATAGACCCCCACTCTCTACATGAGGGGGACCTTTGGCTTGAGATTGAAGAGAGCTCTGAAGCTTCAAGAGCTCTAGCACCACCGCCGCCTGTCTCGGACCATCACGCCCGGCTGTCGCCTGCCGGTCGACAACCGCCCGGCCGCCGCCTGCCTCCGGACCACCAGCCGCCGGCCTGTCGCCGGACAACGGCCGCCGCCTGTCGCCGGACCACCGACGGCCGTCGCCTGTCGCCGGACCACCCGGTCGCCGCCTGTCGCCCTGTAACCACCCGCAGCCGCCTTCGCCGGACCACCGCACTGCCGCGCGGACCACCGGGC